GGTAAGGTGACTTGACGCAATTTTATTATAGACTGCTTGTTACTACACACACATACATACTCTCACCTATATTCACCGATACCTTGAAAATCACACGACTGTGATTTGTGTCTTCACGCACATGTTGAGTGGATTAAATTAAAAATGAAATTGCCTGTACTGAAAGTTCTTTATGCATTTGGAAAGTTAAATACGTATGAACATAACGCCATTGTTCATTGGAATGATTTTTTTTTGTTGCAAAAATATACGATTGCTTTCGAGCCGATTGAAATAAACATGGAATATGACGAATACACACAGTGTGTGTGTCATGCGAATGACGAAGAGACCAAAAAATTTATCTAATTTGACTGAATCAATTGAATTAAGTAAAACGACGTTTTAGTGGCATGACTGATCATATCAAGCACTAAATATACGTTGTTGTGGTGCTCGCGATATGCGCACAACAATATATAGTGTATCAAAGTGTCTCAATGATAATATTTTATCATCAGATCGTAAAATAGCACTGTGTGCTATCATTTTCGTTTCACTTTGGTGGCGATTGTAAATTTTGTGTTTTTTCGAATGGCCAATCAAAAAACAACCGTCAATTGGTTTGTTCCGTTGATACAACACAAAAGCGATTGATGTGAATGAGCTCTTACTGGTTTGGTTGCGCGCTCGTGCACAATCGCCTTCGTCAGAGCGAGAAAATGGACATCCAATAATACCATAAAAAAGTCAAGAACGACACCGCGACAAAAAAAAGCATACAACATATTTTGACGATCTATTTGCTTGAAAAAGAAGAAATTTTCGACAGAGAGTCAATCAAATTTTGATAGATATTTCTCGCTGTCAGAATGTAATAAAGGCAACATCGCCAATCCCTCACTAAACTCACACAAAAGAAAAAAAAAACGATAAAAAATGTGATAAATACTCCATGGTGCTGACACAACAATTTGTTTTTTTTTTTAAACTATCGTTTGAAGATTGGTAAGGATGCGCTTTAATATGCGAACAACATAACACACAACAAGAACAAGCAGAAAAATATCATTTGCAGCAAAATTGCCAATCAAGTTCGCATTTTTTTCGGTCGCTTAAAACAATGCACGCATCTCACTCTCTGTCTCTCGAGTGTTTTTCATCTCGTTCAATTTGGTGACATTTTGCGGACACAAAGATTAAGTGCCATCAATTTGCTCTCGCTTTCATTCCATCTCGTCACACGCACACCACATGTGTTTACGCGTACGCGTGCGTTTTTGCTCTCTTTATTGTTATTATAAATCAACAATTATGTGACGTTCGAAATAATTCGCCATTCTCGCAAAAAAAAACATCTCCATTCAAAACAGTTTCATTGAATGGAATAGTTTAAAATTATTCGAAGTGGAAAAAATTGATTCATCGACCAATTAGTTGGGTGTAAACATCCCGAGAGAAGTATCAGGGAAAAAAAACTTTTTAACGAAACCATAATTATAAAAAGTCGTGCACGTCATCAATGCTTCTATGAATGAGTGAACAGCTTTCGAGTTTGGATGTCCATATAAAATAAATAGAATCAGCACCGACCAAACTTACCAAAATTCCAATCGATATTTCAGTTCATTGCACCACATCTTCATTCATAAACTTGATAAGCAGACACAATAGAAATTTAATAGCGATAATTTTGCCATAGTTTTGTTCTGCAAAATATCTGGCCGAAAGTTTCAAGTTATAGAATGAATTTATTTCCAAAGAATTAACATTCCATGTGCTCAAACTACTTTGTGTTACAAGGGGAAAACAGGGACCGGGTCGCGTATAATTTTATACTAGCATAAAAAACGCAGGCAGTATAATTATACAAAGTATAAACGCAGACGCAACATTTCCATCGCTGTTCGCTATGTATGAAGCATGCGAATACATGTTCGTGTGTGCATGTGACCATTGAAAGACGCACGCATAAATATCTTGTATAATTCTATATGCGACCCGGTCCTTGGGGGAAAATAACAATTCTTATCAAACAAAAGATCCAAGTCCCCAATTGTTATTCGTTTTCTGTAAATAATTATTTCGTTTCATTGACATGTTGCCCCTTGATTTTGTGTCTTCTATCTAAATGCATTGTTTTTCACTTGGTTTCTTGTTTTGTGAATAAGAAAGTGCCTGCTTTGTGCACTCCAATCGATTTCCTTTTTGAACGGAGTCACACAAGAATTATTACATTTGACAGAATTATGGTATTTTAGAGGTATTACATGGGATATACTTCTGGAACACATAAATGTACCAGACACACAACATAGGGACACGTGCGTCCATTTAATTTCACCATGGTTATTACATAGTAATGACAGATTGTCTTTATCATATGACTTGCGAAACATTCCGAGAGCAAGCTAATACAATCTATTATTTCGAAAATGCTTAACATCCAAAAATTGAACCAGAAAGTGTGTGTGTGTGTGTTTCAAACTTTACAAACTGAATTGCATGAATGGTAATGGCAATGCGTCGTCATTATACATCGTGCAACGGTAATAAAATTTTCGACTAGAAAATTGTTCGAGTCATACTTGTTTCAATTATTTTTTTAAAGTACCCCATATATTATGCTATTCTCAGTATAGTTTTTTACAAGCATTAAGTGTCTATTAAACAGTTGCAAATGAAGTCGCATGACCAACAATGCAACTTGGTTTATGAAATCGTCGAAAATGTCAGATCCTTTATCATTTTAAATGTAAAATAAAATGTTTTTGTTTTGTTAACGCATTTCTGGAGACAGAACTGAAATATGATTCATTCAATCGAATATACGGCCCACAAATTATGCGGTAAATTTATAAGAATATCTGTTTTGTATATCAAATTCTTGTGTGTGTATGGATGTGCGCGCTTCTTTGTTGATTTCAGTTCAGTTTTCTTGATCTAATAATGGTTCCAGATAACAGATAATTTATTCGCTGCTTACTTGATTCCATTTCGTTCTATCTCTTTATCTATGTCCATCATTCTCTCTCTCCTCTTCCCAGTCTATCTATCTCTACTTGAAGATTATTTTGTCTCAGTTCATTTGTTGCGATTAGTTGTCTGCGACGTTTTCTTTTTCTCTCTCTTCAAATTCAATAGCGTGCATGTCACAGAGAGACATCATTAAATCACTGGCAAAGTGTATGTATATGTGTGTGCATGTTGTAAAGTTTTTGATAGTGACACTGGAATGGTTTTAAGAGTTTCAATGGATCACGTCTGTGTGCTAGCTCTTTCATTCATTATTCTTGTTATTTTTTGTGCTCTTTGATTGACGCTGTAAAATTTTGCGCTTTAGCTAGAATGTGCTTGATTTTATTGAATGTTTTTGAAATAAATGCGCACACCAAATAAAAAGTGAGCTATATATGCATATCACCATTTCGCCTGGCATATGCTAACTTATATTAAACAAGTCAATACCATAACATTGCTGTCATTATTGCAGGTCAATAAGTGTCTTTTGAAACCACGATAATTGCTCATTCATTCCCTCATATCGTTGACGTTGAATATATTTACATGCTCATGCAAATAAACAGCATGATGAAATCACAACACCACACTCACATACACCCTGTAAACTCTCAACACTATTTACAAATTATGTGTATGTGTTATTTTCTCTCTTTTTTTCTTCTGTGGTACTTGAAATGGATTTATTAATTAAACGTTGATTTCCTTGCTTCAACTGCGTTTTCTCGACATGAATCTTTTATATCACTTATGTATGTTTTCATATGTATTTTGATTACTACGATGAATTTGTGTGCGAGAGCGCGCTTTTTGATTTTGCTCTTCTATCTTTCTCTTTTTCCCCATCATTTGGATAATCGTGTTGTTTGATCCTACAGTCAATTTATCATGTTTATGTTGGTGTAGTTGTCGTCACAACTAATTTTGTCTTTGCCATTTTATGACATGGACTTTGATTAGTTCGACAAAAAAAAGAGGTGGAACAAAAAAAAAATACCTCAAACGGAACGTATCGAAAATCACAGAAATGATTCCGTTTAGAAAGTGCGCCAACTTTTTTTGACGATTTTTTTATTCAAACGGGATAATGTTTCAAAGAGGAGGAAAAACCCTATTTGCTTTTTCATTAAACAGAATGTTTACATTGATTATTTTGTTTCTCTGATTTCAACGGCATGGCATGTTTTTTATTTCTCTTTTATTTCACTAAATCCGTTACATGCTATCGTTCGTCGTCATTTAGTGGATGAATTAATTATTTGAGAAGAGAAAAAAGCTTCATTTCGAAAATGTAATATTTTGAATATGGTACATATTGTTATTTCTACCCTCGATTAGACAGCACGTACGGTGCTAAAATAACTGAGGAAAAAACGGTAAATCATTCATGACACAAAATAGAGAGTGTTCTAGACACAGAGATAAAAAGGGGGAAGAAATTGGAAAAAATGATATCAATTAATCACAACGATGAGAATGTATTTTTCGCTTGACAAACGAAAATGCAAAACAATGTGATTTCAATTGTAAGGTGGTATGTGTGTCAAAGTGGGCAAACAAATTTTCGTGCATATTCATACAAAGACCCATTTCGAGTCCTCGTCTAATTATGTTCGGCCTTAGAAATAATGAGAAACGATAGAAAAAAATTCAAACTTAAATAAGATTATTTGTACAAAGCTTGAGCGTGTGTGCATCAATCATCCAACAATTCAAATCATGCGGCATATCTTCTTCGTTCACACTTGTCTCTCACTCGATGTACTTTTCTTTCTTCGAATCTATTCTTCATCTTCTTGTTTTCCAATGAAAATCACTCATTCGAACGCGTTTCACAAACACTTAATGCCGAAATGAAATTCCAAATTTGAATTATTTCCGGCGTGTTGCGACATTCGCGTGTATTTTAACAAAAAAAAAGTTGATATAATCAAAAACAACAGAATGGAATAGAACGTAAAAGAAATAGACGAAATCCAAGATTATATGTTTACACTTACACTTATGCACAAAATTCAATAATTTGGAAACTTTTTCCAAGAAAACACATCGAAGAAAAAAAAAAAGATTTAACGAACGCAACGGTGAAAAGAAAAAGAATCCAATTTTCGTTTTCCGTTTCTGATTAAATTCAAACGAACAAGTTCGAACTGTATATTGTTTGCGACTTTTTTTATTAGATTGTATTCAAACTGTCGTTTCGATTTGTATTTGTAACTATGTGCTTTTCGGTTTGTCTGTTCTATGAGATTCACATCGGAAAATAAATGGTAAATTATTTTATATATTGTTTGGATTGATTTTATTTATTTATTTTTTTTGGTTCAAATTTCACTTATACCAATTCGATATATTTATTTTTTAAATATATTTATGTACTGAGTTGTTCAACGTGGTTTTAAAAGCAAACGAAAAAAATATATATAAAAAAATCAAGTTTAAGAAAATTACGACCACACAGCTTAACGACAAGCTCTCAACTGACTCAAAATTAAACTGAATGAATTTGTGCGCCGTCTACATATTATGCTCTTTCATGATGATGTACATAAAAAAAATCATACCAAATGCTGGAGTACTGGATAGATTGGTATGTGTTTGTGTCTGCGCGTGTATTTGAGAGAATAGGAGCGACGACTGGCATGTATGAGTGTATAGACTTAAACTCAACTATATATTCCGTTGCCAGTATGATTTTTTCTCTCTCTTTTTTTTCACTTGATACTGTTGCTTGTTGAATATATGAGCAACGCCGAGAAAAAAAGGTATAACCGAACAGGCGCTGAACAAAAATTATTGGATAAGGATAAGGGAAGCGAAACCAACAAGCTAACGTTGCGAGAGGAAACAGAATTTGGTGAATGTGAGGCAAAACATTGTTCAAAATCAACACCGACACACACACGCACAGATCTATACTTACGTATGCACGAAATGAGAAAAGGGAGAGTTTACACAGCAGCAACAGTGTGTGGATTGTATTGTATTACACAAATACAATGAACAGTTCCGTAAATAGCATGTATATAACAAACATAATTGCAAAACGTTACTCGGCTGTCGCCGTGTAGCGCAAACCGTATTCATTCGAGAAATGATATTGCTATGTTGCTTTTGGTGTGCTGTATGTGGTAGCAGGCATCTATTCGATTAGATTTTAACTGTTCGTGGAAATCGAAGTTTAGGGGAAAAAGCTTGTGTATGGTGATACTGAAATGAAATACATACAGCTAACAAACGAACGGATCAACGAAATGTTCGAATGTAACTGTGGATAATACACACACCACATGGATGAAAGCTTTAAAGCATTTGCTCTGTGAAAGTTTTCCAACTTGATAAGAATTTTATACCCTTTAAAGGGATTGTGAACTGGATGATTTTCGTTTGAAAGTTAAATCCACAAATTGATATCGTTTGAATGATTTTTTTTTGTAGCGCCTGTCGAGCAACAGGATAGAGAGCACACTGTATTGCTGCGGCTGCTTCTGTGGATAATAATGATGTTCGAATATGCGATAACAAGCAAAATAATTTCGATATTTACACTCTACGCGGTCTACTTTTGGTTCAGGTTCACACTATGTCAACATTTATCTCTCTCTCTCTCTCTCTCAATCTCTTTCTCTCCCTTCGTTGTCTCTTTCTGTATTTTTCTCTCCCTCCACATTCCCGTGGATTTTGATGTCAATCGGTAGTTCAAATCGAAAGTGCGATATATTTATTGGAAGCCCACTAATGAAACCGTTCTATTGAAATTTATTCAAATGATATCATCGCAATTTAAATCGAACCATTATGATGCCCAACAATTCTCTACAACTATTGTTTTACATTTAAGAGGTCAGGCATGTCAATGAGCTGAAAAGTCAGAGTTTTTAGAGCCGTTATTTTGCTCGTAATCTTCGCATTGAATCTCTTTTTATCAAACGAGAGCAAATGTAAAATGACGCTTTTTTTCTGTTTAACAATTGCATAAATTCGGTTACCTACTTTTATGAAATATATACTCTCAGAAAACTCAGATGTTAAAATTCGAAGTAATCAGAGCAAAATGCCATTTTAACTTGGAGAAATTTTTCCACATGTTAAGATGCCGTTTTACCCGCCAAGAAATGTGTTGCGGGTAAAATGACATTTTAACATGTGAAAAATACCCCCATGTTAAAATGGCATTTTACTCTGATTACTTTGAATTTTAACATCTGAGTTTTCTGAGAGTACTGATTTAATTTCTATTCAATAACGAAACCTCCGTGTAATTTCCGTATGTAGGTTTTCCCGGTGTATGCGAATGTTTTTCTTTTTCAAATCAATTTCACCGTTTTTTTGTCATTACATTTATCGTGCGATATTATTACTGCTGTTGCTGCTACTGCATAATGTGTACGTATTTCTTTTGGCGTTTTGGCATCCCGTATTCTGTGTTTTATCGTTCGCCCATTTCCATTCCGGTATTACACATACTGAGTGAGTGTTGTAGGTAATAATAATATGGGAAAAAGCACATCGAATGCGAGCGAGTGATAGTGGGAAAAAAAGGTCAACAACAAGTGTGCTTTGTGCGCAACTCGTGAAGTCATTTTCCTGAAATAGATTATTCCAAAGGAATGTTAACGTGCTATTGTGTTTTCTTATTTCGAGTGTTGAACACTTTTTTGTACCGTCTTTTTATGTAAACTCTCTTTACGCTTGTTGATAGAGAAAATGTCTTATCAACAGTTGAACGGGCCGTCAGCATGCAGACTCTAAACTCTATAAGAATATATTTGGGGCAAGATACTAAAAACCGTTTACCATTCGATTTGCGCTTTTTTTATAACATCGAATTCATGTTAAACATAACATGACTGCTGCGAATTGGTATAATTTCTCGGTTAAATAAAATCATAAATGATACAAATGTTGAGCGTTCATTTGGCAGTTATCTGTCATAATTTCGTTCACTTGATTCAATCAACCCTTCTGGTTGGTTATCCAAATTTAACGTCTTTACTCGTACTTTGGCTTTTAAACCATCATTAATGAACGATATGATTCTTAATTGTTTTTTCATCGATTGTATCACTTAAATAATTCAAAACTAAGAATCTACAATAATTAAATGTCAAAAGTCATTAAAACCAAATTGTCAAATGCTAACGAATCAAAAACTTTTCTGCCATCAACTTGTAAATTATAAAAGTTGATGGCAAGGTAACGCGTTGTTTCATGTAAAGGGTGTTTTTTAAGGAGGTTTGTTTTTTAAATTGATATAAATCACATATATTTTTTATTTTAAACATTTAAATTGCTGTATTTGGTAGAAAAATCTCTGGCATTTATGATTTGGAAAAGATTTCTGGCATATAGTCACAATGGCCACTTTTTTCATAGGCCCATTAGCCAGTCCTTTTTTGTCAATTTTTTGATCATACTAGATTCTATAATCCTTGAAAATGGGTTTGAAAAAAGACATTCTGGTACATTTGAAGACATGGTAAACCAGTGAAAGTCCTGAATTCTTCATTTCAATACAAAAAACTAAAAGTGACATTTTATACGCCGTCGGTATTTTTGAGAAATTTTTCTTAAAATTTCCCCTGGTGTCAACATTACTGTTTTATGACTGTTTCCCTCCAAATATTGTCAGTCATCCTCCGGAGCCATTTTAGTTTCAATAAAAAATCAAAATTTGCCAGACAATTTGTCGAAAACCTTGATTTTAAAGCAAATTATCACAGGTTGGTTGACCGTCTTCTTCAAGCTATCTGATGACCCGGAATATTTTTTGTGCAGCAAATTGAAGTGTATGGTCTATGTCGATAAACTAACAACGATTGAGCACTTCTAAGGCCAATATTCATCGCGTTATTCTCGAGTTATTGCCAGCAAAAATGGACTGGCCTATGTAAAAAGTGGCCATGGTGACTATATGCCAGAAATCTTTTTTAAAACATAAATGCCAGAGGTTTTTCTACCAAATAAAGCAATTTTCACGATTAAAACAAAAAAATATATATGATTTATATCAATTTGAAATCCTCAACCTCTTAAAAAAACACCCTTTAATTTTCATTAAAACTTGTAAGTATAACATATTCACTAAACGAAAAGTGTAAGGTAAGTGGAAGTGTGGGAGTAATTTGTTGAAATCAAAGATTTAGCTTTTTAATAATAGCTATGATGTACATGTAAATAATGCGCCAATTATGTCTCCAAATGTTCGCTGTATGTCAAAAGTTATTCTTTTGTGTCATTGACTTTGAGATTTGCACGGATATGGTGGAATTTGAGATATCAACATTTTCAGCACCATCTTCAGTCGCATACAACGTATTTCCACGTTAAAATTGAAACATTACAGCATAAATTGCCAATACTCTTGCTTGCGATTCAAAATGAGAAATTCAATCGTCGCTGGGTTGATTTGAAATTATGGCGTACGTGCAATTGGGCTCATAGTATACGTTTTCGCCAGTATTGTTTGAAGTGCATTATATATTTTTTTCTTCTTTTTAACAAACACATAAACAATTGACAAATTGAAATTTTGTTCTTTTTCTTCTTGTTAAACGATAAAGAAGTCAATTGTCTAGAATGATCACCTAGGTCACGATAACTGAAGTGTCAATCACTTTTGGTTATCGATAAATGCTACACACGAATTAATAACACATAATCCAGAAACATTACCATAAATGAAGCGTTAAAATGGACATTTAATTTGGACTGTGTTTCCATTTAGAAGTTGTTCATTTAAAACCTTTTACTAATTCAATTGAAATAACATTTACAAATTGTATTATATGAGTGTATTGATCGAGTGGTATATTGCACAATGCACTTCATTTTTCAATATCTTGATTACATTAAGAGTTATAAAAATTATCTCGTTGCATTTATTACAGTGATTTGATTTAGAGCCAGTGTTATCTCCAAAAATTTGTTTCTTTTTTTCAAGTTTCGAACAGAGACATGGGCTATAATGTGTCTAAAGGAGTCTTTCTTCCAATAAAGATCCACTCATACTTTTGGGTACTAATTATCAATATATTGAGCTGACAATATGCCTCTTCAAGGTGTTACTCCAAATGTAGATGTTCTCAGAAAAAAAGGAGCTGAATTCTTGTTGTCATACAATCGAAATGTCCCATTTATCTTGTGTTTCAAATAAATAGCCAGCTCAATATATTATCTGATTATAATAATGAGTTTTACGAGAATATTCGTTTTTTTTTTTTGTTGAAATGGTCAACGATTTACCAATTTGGACAAATTAAAAATGATTTATGCATATTGTCAATGTTCTTTATTCGACTCTGATAACTTGATTGATTTGTTGGGTCTTCCCTCCAAAAAAATGCACCGAATGTAGATACAAGTACTTATAGAACAAAATACGTGTTTATTGTTTGAAATTGGTTTATGAGTAATACTAATCAGATCCATCGTGGCTATTTAAACGGCATTAATGAAATAATCAATTCAGTTTACACTTGCACGATATTCCGACAAAATAAAACGTTTGTAACACATTAATAACTAATCATATAAACTGCAAAGAAAATAAACATAAATAAAATCATATTTCAATTTAAGAAGAAGAGAATAAAATGATTTTCATTGTTTTATTGATTTTCGTTTCAACGCTTGCATATGTGTATGTAAAATGGCGGTATACATATTGGAAAAAACTTGGTGTTACGTGTCCTGAGCCCGTTTTTTTCTTCGGAAATGTATTGGAAGCTTTTACTATGTCATCGCACATTAGTTCGCTCTGTGAAAAGTGGTATAAGTGAGTATTTGTGTTTTTCGTAGCTAAATCCGATTGATTTTCAAATTAATCATAAGATTAAATGTGAATAATTTATTGAAATTGATGAAAATGAAAGAGAAATGTTTCCTGTTTTCAAACAGTGATTATCGACATGAACCGTACACTGGATACTACAAACTATTGAGTCCAGCAATTAATCTGATCGATCCAGATTTAATTAAAGATGTTCTCATTAAACACCATTTTAATTTCCATGATAACGAGCTACATTTCAGCAAGAGATTCGATTCACTAATGATGTACAATCCTTTCGTCGCAAGCAATGACATTTGGAGAAAAGGTCGAGCTGTTCTCACACCACTGCTCACATTATTTAAGGTAAATTTTTAGCAAATAAATAACGGCATTAAATATAGATGAATTAAAACAAATACAAATTTCGGATGGACATTTTTCCATATAAAAATTCACAACATTTCAATTTATTTGATTCTTAAGGCAATCAAAATTAAATTTAATGAAAAATTAATGACAATTCTTAATTTGTTTGTCTCTTCAAATAGGTCAAATCAATGCATCCACTCATTGCAGATAGTTGCGACAAACTTACAAATTACTTAAGAACCATACCATCAAACAAGGACATTGAAGCAAAATCGGTATGTTTTATGTAAAATTTAATGAAATTTGAACGTCTTTTGCTTTGCCTATTTATACATTTATAATTCACTTCATTTATTTTCAATGAATTCTTTTTGAATTGTTCGTTTTAATTTGATATCGATTGGAAGCTTGTAGCTCGATATGCAACACAAAATGTGATTCGATGTTTGTTTAGTATTGATGCGCAATGTTTTAACGAAACAAAAAATGAGTTCCTTGAGTTGGGCAATAACATTTTCCGACCAACATTTTGGACTGGCGTAAAGCTAATGATGATGTCCATATGTCCAAATTTACGTGATGTGATGCCATTTGGTTTTGTACCAGCTCCAGCAAATGAGTGGTTTCGAAGTCTTGTAAAAATGTTCAGAGAAGAACGAATGAGATCACCATTACAGCAGCGACAAGACTTTCTTCAATTCCTTCTTAACTCCGTTGACAAATACGGTATGTATTATTGTTTATTTGTTTTCATGTGTGGTTTTTTTTGACAATTTGTTTCAATTCTGGTAATGTTTGTGAATAATGATTTCAAACGATTATCATAGATATCAATGATGATGAGCTTGCCGGCTATGCATTGGCAATGTTTGTGGATAGCTACGAAACGTCTAGTGGTGTGTTAGGTTTTGCAATATACGAATTGGCACGAAATCCAGATATTCAGGATCGTCTGCATGAAGAAATCACAGAAGTACTAGCGAAATATGATAATAAATTCACATTTGAGGTTCTTCATGAAATGGAATATTTGGATAATATCATCTATGAAACAATGCGATTAGATGTTGTTGATCCAATTATAAGTAAAATTTGCACCAAAGAATATACGTTACCATTGATTGATGGTAAAAAGAAACCAGTTACCATTTATCCAGGAACACCGATACAGATATCATCAAGAGCATTGCATATGTAAGTGATTTAACGTTCTCTTCGTTTCAGGAGTACCTTTCAAATCACATTGCATCGAATCATCATTTCAAAATGTATATTTCAATCACAGGGACCCCGAATACTATCCAGAACCGGAAACATTTGACCCCGATCGATTCACCGAAGAGGAGCGTCGAAAACGTCACAAGGCAGTATATTTGAGTTTTGGCGAAGGACCTCGGTCAGATTTTTTTATTTTTTCTATTTTTTAAAATATTAATTAATAGCGTTTTTTTAAAATTGTTTTGATTACAGAATGTGCATTGGAATCAACTTTGCATTAGCTCAAAGAAAGGCTGGCCTAATGTCAATCGTGCGTGATTTCAAAATAGCATTGTCACCGAATCAAAAACCAATCATGATGGATAATCGTGCATCTATATATCATGCACGAGATGGACTTTACTGTAACTTTACTCCGAGATAAAAGGACCAAATATTCATATTTTAATTTAAACGTCTAAAAAAACGACTCAAGAATACTTAAAAAAATGTTTACGTAAATAATCAGACAATAATAAAGTATCGGATGTTTTAATGCGTTCGAAGAGGAAAAAACGAATTTCTAATTAACTTGTACATGCAATTATAAAAGCTTTAATTTCAACCAAGGGAATGGCACGTATATGAGAGACATGGCGACGTGCCAAACCGTAACGCCATCTATCGGATAGAATCTGAATTACAAATTTCGTATTGAATATCCCATATTAGTGTAATTTTGTTCATAGAATTATAAGGTTTATTCCGATAAATTTGTAAGGTTTTTGTTCGCCAACATTTTACATAGCATGCCATACTCATTATTTCAACCGTAATTACATTTTAATGATGCCGCAGTTCCGTTACTCGAAAGTTCTTCAAGTTCCGAGAATGGACAAAAAATGCACAAAAATCTAGTTATGGGAATGGAAAAATGTACATACTAACGTGCAGCACAGTGAAACTATATATTCATGCATTGTGAGAACACCGAAACAAAAGTCTTTTTCTTTCTTCAATCATTTCTGAGTACTACATTTTCCCATTACAAGATTGTGGTGGAATATACTTCCGTGTCATGTCATTGAATGTGTGAAAACTTGAAAACTTCATATCAACATCATGTGATGAATGAATGTAGAACATTGCCTGAAGTCATCCAATTCATATTGGATGGGTCTAAGTAATTTTAACACATCAACAAAACGGATGAGATACTTCTATCTTTTGCACATTTTTATCTTAACGTGTTGGAGTAAGTTTTCTTTTTCTTTTGCATTCAACACATGGAATTTTGAATTCGATTATTTTTCCTCTACTCTTTACAAATCGTCTTTTGATCTGATAGTTTGCTATTTCATTAAAATGTTTCCTTTCCACCTACTGATGTAAAAAAATCGCCGTTTCGTTTCTGTAGAAAATGACAACTCTTATCTTATGTGTTCTATTTTTGGTACAAAAAATGGCCACACAGAAAGTTATTTTTTTAAATGGTTTTTAATTCTGACAGCCGCCAATTAAGTAGCTTCAACTTCCGTTAAAAACTTTATCCGCTGCTTTTCACTGAAGCACAGCAATATATATTTAAATTTACCTAAATTACAAATTAATTATTTATGAATCAAAAGCAATGTTAAATTTACGGCTCCGTGTGTAAGAATATTCAAACGTTGTACGTGTCTTTGGGGATTTTTTTCACAACAAATATAGTATGACATCGTTTTTTACAGTTGTCCATCTAGAAACTCACTCTGTTTTAATGTTTTTCGCATAAAATTTCATAACAATCATGCCCGAGTATAAAGTGTCATCACGTTTAACCCATTTTAAATTGTTTACAGTGCGTTTTTTTGCGAAGCATCCGTATTTGAGTTTTCAGATTCTCTTCTAAATTAATTATACAACTTCAATACATCAAATGAAAACTGAATTTAAAACAAATTGCTTAAGCACAATTTTATCTTTTATTCACTCTTTGATGTTCGATAATTATAATTAACTCTTCATTTAATCCGACTTTTATCATTTAAAAACGGCTTGGTTTTTTACCCAAAAATACTATTTTAAGTTAGTGGAACTATTGAATATTATATACACCAAAAAAGTCTGTTAGAACATTGAGTTTTAACGTTCGCAAAACTGCCATTCAACTAATTTCAACTTTTTGTTCCGGACGCCTTTTCTGAATTTATTTACATGAAGTGACTGAAGAATTTTCATAGCAATGAAAAATAAAAATTCCCATAAGCAAAGAAACACAGTTAAACCAACACAATCAGCAAACAGCCCCGACGACTTCGGAGCTCACAAAGCAAACAGTTTGTGTTCGTTGATAATTTACACATTTTGTTCAAATTAAATACATTTTGATTGAAAGAAAGCTAAAGAAAGAGTGAAACATTGTTTTAGTTTCGATAAATATTCGATTTTTCTTTTTTCAAAATCGATAAAAAGTGCCAATTTATTTTTCGTTTCGCTTTTTTTCTATATCAATTTAGATTTAAGTAATTATTAATTTCACTCGGGTTCTTTCTAATATCATTTCTCCAGAGTGTGCTTTGTTTCGAATTTCGTGTGTGTTTGGTTTGCGACTGTTTTTTTAAGTCATTATGATTGATTTGTTTAGTGATGGACAAACGGTGACGGTCGCATGTATATATTATTTTCTTTGCGTTCCATCAATGCGCTAATCGATTTAAATGTTAAATGCTACGCAGACGGTCGATCACAAAAAAGTCGGTTCGCATCCCATATACATATCATACCATGCATAAGCTTAACAATGCGCACTGACAACACAAAATACACACACACACAATAAAAAAAAAAAAACAAGCGCGCAAATCAGCATCCAATATCGAAAGCAGTGTATGAAATTTTGGTTGTCGTTCGCGTTCGTTTACAATGCGTACGCATCTAACATGCGATGCGCGCGCGATATGTATTTCGAACGGTTGAAACTTGAGTTCAGTCAAGTACGAGAAACTCAACGAAACAGTTGTGTGTTTTATCTGAATTATCTTAAAGCCGCACCAAACAGCACCAGCACAAACAATTTTGTAAGTGATTCTTTTATGAGTGGCACACGTACCAAAACATTCATTCAAACAAGAACGAACGAGAGAGAGAAAGAAAATCTATAAGAACCTATTTAAATCGATTTAAATGACAAAAAGGAAAATCAAGACTGATTTTTATTGAAGCGAAAAATAAATTGAGTGTGCGAATTAATCGCATGTGCATGGTTTTTGTGTGTCGGTTGCCTTATTAGATGGTACATTCTTATTGGTTCTAATTATAAATTTGTTCGATATGTTCGTATCGTGGATATATATTCGCAGTGTATGCGAAAAATACGAAAACAACAAAAGTGTTTGTGTATAGTCACGGGTTCAGTTCTCTTTTTTCCTCTCTGTTCACTTGGTCCGGATTTGTCTAATTTTTTTGCTTGTTTATAGTTTGCGCTGTTCTTTTCATCGTGAAAAATAAAATTGTGTATATTCGCATCACAGTGGTTGGGAGCAGTGTGCAGACACAAACAAAACACTCTCTTTAACTGAAAAGGTATATAAAGTGCTATTTATAAGTTTATTTCTGTTTGAATTCTCTCAATTTCATTTTGGTTGTTTGC